GGAAGTAAGGGAAAATTGTGTGCATGTAGAGAGATTAACAACAAATCATACCATTATGTACAACTACAGCGCACCAATAAAAATTAGGAAAAAGTTCATTTTCACAGTAGTAAAGTATAATTACCARGTTCACACATTGTTTTGTTCCATTGCCAAAGCAAACTTCATTTAAATTGGTAATTCTTCCTTGACTGTGAGATAAAGCAAGTAAACTTACACTTTATTTAATAAAAATTTCAAGAGCCTCTGAAATCAGTCATACCAAGTAATAAAATTCAGTTACTAAGTTAAATGATTTACGTAAAATCTTAAACATTCATATTATCAAAATGTCAGCTTACCAAACTTTGGGAACAAAAGTCAAGAAAAAAGCTGGGTGCAGTGGCATATGCCTGTTGTCCCAGTCACTTGGGGAGCTTGAGGCAGAAGGATCCCTTGAGCCCAAGAGTTCTAGGCCAGCCTGGGAAGACCCCATCTCAAAAATAAACAGAAGTCAAGAGAAACAATTCAGTCTTTTACTAAAAAGTTTCTTCCCTGTATGAGCGCTGACCAAAGTTCTGCTTAGATCAGAAAGATGACAGTGCTTTAAAAAGCAGAGGCAACATGAATAAGGGGGAGAGGGGAGGAGTGGGAAGGATGAGGAGGGGGAGGGGGGAGGGAGAGAGAGAGAGAGGAGWATTCAATTTTAAGGGTTTTTTAAAATATCATTTTATTTTTTTATGTGGTGCTGAGGATCAAACCTAGTGCCTCATATATGGGCAAGCGCTCCACCACTGAGCCACAACCCCAACCCAATTTTAAGGTTATTTTTAAGTCAGAAGAAATTGCATTTCATAGTTCTCAACATTGTCAGTTGTGGTGGCATATACCTGTAATCCCAGAGATTCAGGAGTCTGAGGCAGGAGGATCACAAGTTTGAGGCCAGCCTCAGCAACTTAGCAAGGCCCTCAGCATTTTAGTGAGACCCTATCTCAAAATAAAAAACAAAAAGGGCTGGGGTCTTAGAGTCAGGAGGCAGCACATACAAGTCAGGTGTGACAGAAACCCACTTGAAGAACAGTTTTAGTAAATTCTGTGTTTCATCTAGTGACACTTATTTTTAGGACTCTTTTTTTTTTTTCTCCAAAAGTACAAGTGAACTTTGATAGGATAATAGAGAGGGTTTAGAACTTATTGAGCTTAAAGAAGATAGATCCTTTCCCGCTCCATAAACTTGCTTTGAAAAGGTTATCGGTTAAAAATAACTGTAAAACACAAAACCCAATGTAAATACACAACTGCAAWTATTGTTTGTAGTTATTTATTTAGATTGTTTTTATATGAGATAGTGCCTTTAAGTACGATTTCATGGCCCATCCATTACCACTCATTCTCCATTCATGCGTTCACTTAGTTCAAATAAGTTGAGATGAGGAGAGGTCACTGGGGTGAAGGTGAGCTCGGGAGACAAGCAAAAATAAGACTGCGGCTCAAGACAGCGGCGGCGGCAGACAGCAGTCCTAAGAGAGGACAGCAAGAACGCTCCCTGCAGGTCTGCAAAACYTAATCCACTCCAGGGAAGTGGACGCTAACCGCTGAACAGCAGATGCAGACCCACAGGCAGAAGTTTATATATTTCTTAAATCGTTAATAAAGCAATTTTTAGCCCCTTTCCATATACAAAACATTTGAATAACCATTATCTAATTTAGTCCTCCCAGCAACAGTGTCAGTATACTGTGTTCCCATTTTATAGATGAAAACAATGAGGCCCAAGGGAGAATGACTGGTCCAGTATCATACAATCAGAAGACAAMAGAGGAAAACACTCAAACCAGGATCTTCCTCTCATTCAAGCTTTGTGTACAATCCTGCCATCACCAAATGTCACAACTGGAAGGGAGCTTATTAAAGACCAAGGTTAGTCCTTTCCTTTTATAAGCGTGGGAAATGGGCCCTGATTTGCCAGAGCTGGTACCCGCCAGTACATAAGAGATCAGATCCCTGGTTTCTTGACAGTGCCCTGTCTTTCCTCTTGACTTCCCTGTCTCAAAATGAAACACAAATGTTGGGCTGGGGATGTGGCTCAAGTGGTAGCGCACTCGCCTGGCATGCGTGCGGCCCGGGTTTGATCCTCAGCACCACATACAAACAAAGATGTTGTGTCCGCAGAGAACTAAAAAATAAATATTAAATAAAAAATTCTCTCTCTCTCTCTCTCTCTCCCCCTCTCTTAAAAAAAAGAAAAACACAAATGTTATACATATAGATCAGAGGATGCTAAAAGTTCACTGGAAATCAGACACAAACACCTGGTCCCTTTGAAACAGCAGGAGAGTTGGTGGCCAAATACTTGCTCTATTCCCAGGAGTCCTAAGGCTTTGAAGAGACGAAAATAAGCTCCTCCACACAAACAGAACCGCTGAGGAGCCCCCTCAGAACTGCCTGCCAGTATGTGCACAGCATACGCCTAGGAAGACACAATTATTAGTAACTTTTCTTCCTAGAGAAAAAAATTCCTGTCTACCTACTGCATTTAATCAATAAAACACCATTTCAGTGCGGTCCTTACCTGACCTGTATTTATATTTGGGTTTTATGGTTTCATAAATGATCCCATTTTGCAGTGAGCTTTCAATGGAAGGAGATTTTACAAACACCTAGATTAAGAGTCTATCCACCTGGTGTGGAGCCAACAAAGCAGTAAGTAGTTCCTGCTCTCAACAGTCAGTCAACCATGACAGTGAAATCCAAGAGGCCTGGAGACACAGAGCTCGCTCTCCAGGCACTTAGTCCTACCACACGTGATAAAGCACTCCCGAATCAACAGCAATGTCATGGAAAGACACTCATCTCCACAAACCTGTCAGACAGGAAATCAGGCCAAATCCAACCATTTAGTGCAATAATTAATTCAATTTTGAAAAAAGATTACTGCAAAGGATGTTTGTGTGGGAGGGAGGCTGTAGAGGGAGGAGCAAGTGGATGTGTTTCCTGAGTGACTAAACGAACTAAATGGATTTTTTCCTAGCCCTCCTGGTAAGTCTATGAGATCCCAGGAAGAAAATCAGCTCACTTATCTTCTACAGGTGGTGGAACTCCACTGGGGTACACTGAGGTAGGGATGCCCACTGTGAGGCTCTTTGCTAGATAGCATCAGATTTCCAACAGTATGAACTCAACTCTGCCAATATAGGAACCCAGGAAGGGGGGGGGGGGATTTGTAAGCGTTAACTCTTAAAGAGAAAGGAGTTTTTTGAGATTCAGGAAGATACTCTAGGAAGAGGTGAGAAAGCAGCTGGATGGAGCACCCCTCCTCATCCTCCGAGGGCAGCAAGAGCTCCCTAACACTTTGCAGCTAAAGCAGGCAAAGAGCACTGCCCCTGGGTGCAGCCCAGGCACCTAACTCACCACCAACAAGTGCTGCCACAGAGTGACCTCTGCCTCAGAGGAAGGACTCCAGAAGGGACCACACTGCACACACTACAAAAGGTGGAATTTTTTTCTTTTAAAGTACTCTCACCTGAACCATGGCCAGTCTGYCTATTTACAGTGACCCCAGATTCTCCTGCCTGGGACCGTATATACACCTGGCTCTTTTTAACTTGCCATATTACAGATTAGAAGCAATGCTATCTATGCTAATTTCTACCTAAGCTCCCAAGACCAATACCCTGGGCATGAGATCAGCTATCACAGAAATACCAAGAGCAGAACAGGTTCTGATACTCTGGGTCTGATGCCTTCTCACAGGTACCTGCTCTCCTCCCTCTGATCAATATCATTGAGTCTTCCTTGAGAAACAGAAATCACCGCCTTTCCTTGAATGGAAGGACCAGAGGAAACAATTGCYTTCAGTAAAATGTGGCCTATGCCCTGGTTGCTCAGAAAAGCTGCTGGCTTTCCCAGGGTATTCAGAAATGGCTCCCAGTTTCTTCTACCTTCTTGTCCAAGTCTTTATATACTGTTATTTCTGAATGGCTTTTTTTTTTTCTTTCTTTTGGCCAGGTACTGGGGATGGAACCCAGGCCTTGCACATGCTAAGCAGGTACTCCCCACCGAGCTCTACCCCAGCCCCACGGAATGACTCTTATGCCCTTATCAAGTCTTATCCCTCTAAATCAACCAGGGAAAATTTGTCCTTGAGTCTAAACTTTAATGACTTTCCAAACTACATAATGCAGCATATCTTTTTTAGCACAAGAAGCAGCATGAGAGCAGTTTGTAGCATATACTAGGAGGAATCCATCACATCCCCAACATGACTGTTTTGTGGTACTAGGAGATGAACCAGGCATACTCTACACTGAGCTAACACCCCCAGTTCCTTTTAAATTTCATTTGAAACAATCTCACTAAATTGCCAAGTTTGGCCTTGAACCTGTGACCCCCCTGCCTCACCTCCTGAGTAGCTGGGATTACAGGTGTGCTGCACTGCACCTGGCTAACCATGCCTTATCAGCTCTGGTATCACTTGACAGTCTATGGAGTGAACATTTCTCTTGTCCTTTCACCCTGTCAACCCCAAGCAGGGCTAGTAAAGGGATTCTTGGCATTATTTTAATTCTTGCACCTCTGGCAGCTGGAGGTCACTCAACAACTTCATGGCTCTGCTTCTTACATAATGTCCTTTCTAAAGTACACATACACACATAGACACAGTTTATTATTATTATTTTTTAACAGAACAAATCATCTGTGAAACCCAAATTGCTCTCACAGTCACAGGGTATGTCAGGAATTCTGGCCACTGAAGTTCCCTGAAAATTACTACTCAAATACCTAAAAATACTTAAATTTAATTYCAGAATTTTAATGAAATCAACACATCTGTGTATTATACTAGGGTAAATTTTTCAATAAAATCCTCAGACAATATTTCTCCTTTCATGTTATGCTAAATTATATATACACACACATATAAAGATATGTATGTATATATACATATAAAGATGTATACATATATATATATACATATATGTGTGTGTGTATTTATATATATATATATATCTTTAAAATTTCATCCTTAACTTTCAAGGCTTAAAGGTAAAAAAATTTCCTTCTTTGAATCCCCTAAGCCTTCATTTCTATCATTTAGGCTTAGGAATAATTCTGAGGAAAAGAACAAGCTTTCTTTTTTTTTTTTTTTTTTTTAGTAAGACAGAGTCTACGCTGCCCAGGTTGGCCCTGAACTCTTGGGCCCAAATGATCCTCCTGCTTCAGCCTCCTTAGTAGCTGGGCCTACAGGCATACACCACCGTGCCCATCCTGTGTAGTTTTTGTTTTTTCTTTTCATGATTCTGGGGATCAAAACCAGGGCTTTGTGCATGTTAGGCCAGCCTTTATAGATGTGCTACGTTCCCAGCCCAACAGAAAAGTTTTTAAAAATCAAATAACWGCTCTAGAACAAGAGTTCTGGAGCCCTGGTTAGGCTAGGCACAGCGGGAAGTATAAATGGAGGTGGAAAAAAGCAGTAAGACTACATATAGCCCTTCTACCACAAATTACCCGGAGGGAGGGGCAAGAGGTGAAGTCATGGGTTGGTCTCTTTCACTCCTAGTAGCTGTCAGCATGGGGCACCTGAAGGGAAAAAAAAAAAAAAATACCCAGATCAAAGAAGAGAGATGTCCCAGTCTCCTTGGGAGGACGTGGCTGCTACAATAACGATGGAACAGGAGTGGAAACGGATTGCCAACTCCTTCAATGCTGGCTGTTACCTACAAAACTCAGGATAACAAAAAGCTTCTTTGATTTGTAAACTTGCACTCATAAATACAATCTCTCAAAATAGAATTCAGTGCATTCTTCAACAAGTCTTGTCAACAGTGATACACAACATCCTTTCCTTTGGAGTCAGTGCTGTTAAATGTACTACATAGCCATTTTCCAAAGCAACGGTACAGTTGAGAACAGGTGTTCAGAGGCAAGTGCTAATACTGCTGCTGTAGGGCGTGCACGTGTTAGGATCTGTGGAGGATCTTACTGAGGATCACATCATAGTAGGGGCAAAACACCATCTTGTTATAGTTGACCAGACGAATGAATTTAACAGCAATTTCCTCCAGCTCTTTCTGGACTGGACCCAGTCCCCCGGGAACTGAGGGCAATGGCTTCTGATGACCCGAGGCAAGGTAGGTTTCCAAGAAGGTCAGGATTCGGGATTCTGTCATGGAAAAGAAAAGGATTACTTGTTTCTCATTAAGGGTGGCTTTACAATCTTCTGATTATGCTTCAGTTCTTAGCTTAACCATCATCTCTTTGGGGAAGTCTTCTCCATTAATCTCCTACATCAGACACTCAGCACCTTGCATGTCTGAACACTCATCCACAGCCACGTTTTCTCTCCCCCGAGGATGATTGGCTTCCGGAAGACAACAACTGTACTTAACTTGTTTATCATTCTCTCCTCAGCACCCAGCACAGGGCCTGGCGTGAGATCTGGCCCCCAGGAGAAGATCAAACCACATTTGCAACGCAAGAACACACGTACAGATGAGTAAACAGAGAAAAGACCTGACATGTTCTGCTCTGAGGAGCAAGCATGCTGAAACCAACCTTAGCCACTGCTGAGATCACACACAAAGGAAAATGAAGCCAGATTTAAGAATTTGAAAAAGGAAGAGAGCCAGGTAAGATGGCACATGCTTGTAATCCCAGCTACTTGGAAGTTAAAGCAGGAAGATCACAAGTTAAAGRCTAGGCTGGGGATATAGTTTAGTGGTAGATAGCTTGTCTAGCATGTGCAAAGCCCTTAGTTCAATCCCWAATGCAAATGAGGAGTAAGAAGGASGAGGAGGAGATGAAGATGATGATGATTCTGGCACCACTGACTTATGATCTATTTTTTTCCTACTATACTCACACGAAAGGACCATGAGCTTCTTTCTTTGGCGCTGACAATGGAAGGTCACAAAAGTCGTGGACATTTGCAAACTTATTCTACTTGGAGGATAACTTCAGCTAATGCATTTTTTAGCCCTTTTCCCTCTACCAGGCTTTTGCACTTTACTATGTAGCCTTATTGGTCAAACAAGATTTAATCAAGTCATAATCCTTATAGGTTTTATTATAAAAACAATATGGACATTTATATTGAATAGGCCTTTTCAAATGACATATCTCAGCCCTGGGGCAAGAGTATCCTCTTTGGTGCAAACAACTTATACTTTCTGAACCCAACTCCACACTGACAGTGAAGCTGCTGCTCACCTGCCCCAGCACTCCTGATCCTGAGGGAGTCTGGTTCTTTAAGGTTCCTGAGCTGGAAGTTTCATCCAGAAGTGCAGCTCCTCTTACCATCCTACCTAGTGGCTGCTTGCGATCCCCACATGTATTAACTGGCTATTAGAAAACCACCAAGATGTGCTTRGCATGGCGGTGCACACTTGCCCCCTCCCAGTGGCTCAGGACTCGTAAGACAGGAGTATCGTTGAGTTCAAAGCCAGCCTCAGCAACTTAGCGAGACTCTATCTCAAAAAATAAAAAATAGAAAAGGGCTTGGGAATGGCCCAGTGGTCAAGCACCCATGGGCTCAATCCCGGTACCAGAAAAACAACACAACCGAGATGGCAGGATGAGAAGCACCTTCCCAGACCTCTTTCCAGACACTTCTCTGCCTTCTACCAAGACCAAGAATAATCATTAACGATCCAAGGGCCCTGCAAGATCCGCAGGAGCTGCCTCTTCAGTGACTCACTAAACTGTCACCAACAAAGGGCTGGGATAAAGTAGGCTTAAAACTATATATATACACTGAGGCTTGATCCAAGACGGCGGGCTAGAGGGAGGCTGCAATCTCTGTGCTCGGGGACTTGGGATTCAAGTAGTGGGAATACTGTTTCTCTGCGAGTGATTAGAGGACCCCCCAACAGCTGCTCCCACATGGCTGCAGTGCTGTGCAGGACTCCCGGTCACTCTTTCACACAGGATCTTTGGGTGTCTGAGTAGGACCACTGGCATTATTAGCACCTGTGTAGGACTTTTGGCCACCGACCTGTGCAGGAACTCTGGCGCCACTCCCATGTGGACCCCATTTATCAATGTGAGGCTCCCCCAGTTGCCTCCATCTTGGGGCACTGCAACCCTACATGCTGTAAGCCTGCACCTGGGGACACTGCACCGGATCAGGAGACAGCCACCAGCCACAATACTGCAGGCCACAGGGCTGCATCTCTGAACACGCCGCTCAAYGCATCGCCCAGTCCCACCCGACCCAACACCCCATTGCTGAAAGCAGCTGCCTCCTTCATGGGACACCTTTGTCTCCATCATTGGTTGACTCCCAACTCGGAACACCGGCTGGAGTTTAGGAGTACTATCAAGGTACGGAAAGTCCCCAACTCCCCCYTCTGCCCAGAAGCCGCTAACCCAGCACAGTGCTTGAGGCTACGTGGCCGAAGCTCACAAAACAGGGTCGTGAACTGCCCAAGATAAAACAGTTTTCCGTGACAGGTGCACAGCCCCCAAGACCTCTGGAGAGAAAGGTTCCTGATTGGGAAGTAGGAGAGGGGTGGTGGAGGGGTGAGACACAGTTTAGAGACTAAATTAGAGATTAGGAATTGCGAAGTCTATAGGGGATAAGGAGATAAGACCAGGCGCCCACTTCACATTATCAGGCCCAAGGAGATCCTTGGGGTGCAGTCTCCCATTGGGACAGCAAGTGCTATAACCCACCTCCAGGAGCTCCGCCCCCAAGACTAACTCTCCCCACTAATAACCTTCACCATCCTGAGGGTGGAGACACCAGCAAACAACAGACAACCCCACCAACTAGATGAGAAGGGAAGTTGGAAAGATACTGGTCTCCAACAGAAACAACCTTGTATTTTCCTGAGATTTTTTTTTTYTCTCTCTCTTCTCCCGCCCTCACATCCCCAACATTTGTGAAACCAAGCACTTAGGCTACTGAAGACTGGAATGTCTGAATAGTATATTACAGCAGTGGTGTATATTCTTTTATCTCCTATTTTTACATTTTTTTATTTTTCTTAATATTTATGTTTATTTTTTGTACTCCACTGACTTCCCATTTACTTGTCTCCCCAAAATCACTCTCTCTTCTCCTGCTACTAACCATTTTCTTTATATTTCTCTTTCACGCTAAGATCCAATAACTCTATATCCTCACCTCCTAGCCCCTCAACATCTTTTTTTTTTTTTTTAGTTTTTGATTTTTTAGTTGTAGTTGGACACAATACCTTTATTTTATTTATTTATTTTTATTTGATGCTGAGGATCGAACCCAGGGCCTTGCACGTGCTAGACGAGTGCTCTACCACTGAGCCACACCCCGGCCCCCACACCCAACATCTTTCCTACACCTCACCCCTAGTTCTTTGTCTACCATTCGAAACTATAAACCCTTCTGCAAACCTATTGTTTATATTGTAGATTATAACTGAACTTACCATTTCTGTATATTGTTACAAAACCGTAAACATCTTTATAGCAGCTAGTTGGTTTAAGATTGTATATTGTTTCTGTTGGGATCTGTTCACATTGTTCTCCCCCGTAAAAGAGAGGTACTGGAAGCCTGCAGGGACACTATAAGCCTATAGGGTAAAAACTGTAACGCCTCAGATCCACAGTGCTAGAAGGGAAGACACATGGACAACATGAAAAAACAAGGGAAGAAAGTGCCCCCAACAAACCAAGACATTACATTCTTGTAATGTCAGAAGAAATGTCAGACAGGGAGTTCAGGATGTACATAATTAAAATGTTCTGTGAATTAAAGGATGATATAAGACAGCAAATACAGGCAATAAAAGATCATTTGATAAAGAGCTACATAAGAAAATATAGGAAGCAAAAGATTACATCAAAAAGAAGAAAGAGGTTCTGAAAAAAAATAATTGCAATGAAAGAAACAATAAACCAAATTAAAAGCTCAAGAGAAAGCATCACCAACAGATCATATCACTTGGAAGACAGGACCTCAGAAAATGAAGACAAAATATATAATTGGAAAGAATGTTGACCACACAGTAAAGATGGTAAGAAACCATGAGCAGAACATTCAAAAGACCAAATTTAAGAATTACTGGGATAGAGGAACGCACAGAGTTCTAAATCAAAGGAATAAACAATCTATCCAATGAAATAATATCACAAAATTTTCCAAACATGAAGAATGAATTGGAAAACCAAATTCAAGAGACTTACAGGACACCAAATATACAAAATCAAAACAGATCCACACCAAGGTACATTATAAAGAAAATGCCTAACATACAGGATAAAGAGAGAATTTTAAAAGCAACAAGAGAAAGGAATCAGATTAGATTAAGGGAGAAATCAATTAGGATATCTGCAGATTTTTCAACCCAGACTAGAAGATCCTGGAACAACATATACCAAGCTCTGAAAGAAATGGATACCAACCAATAATCTTATATCCATCAAAATTAAGCTTTAGATTTGATGATGAAATAAAAACCTTCCATGATAAACAAAAGTTAAAAGAATTTACAACTAGAAAGCCTGCACTGCAGAACATCCTTGGCGAAATACTCCATGAGGAAGAAATGAAAAATAATAATGAAAATCAGCAAAGGGATGTATTAACAAAAAACCAATCAAAGGAGAAACCAAATCAAGTTGAATAATAAAAATACACAAATATGACTTGGAATACAAATCATGTCTCAATAATAACCCTGAATGTTAATGGCCTAAACTCACCAATCAAAAGACACATACTGGCAGATTGGATTTCGAAAAAAAAAAAAAAAAAAGGACCCAATAATATGCTGCCTCCAAGAGACTCATCTCATAGAAAAAGACATCCACAGACTGAAAGTGAAAGGTTAGGAAAAAACATACCACTCACATGGATTGCAGAAACAAGCAGGGTTTCCATCCTCATAGCAAATAAAGGAGACTTCAAGCCAAAATTAATCAAAAGGGATAAAGATGGACATGTCATACTGCTTAAGGGAACCATACACCAACAAGGCATAACAATTATAAATACATATGCCCCAAACAATGGAGCATCCACGTTCATCAAACAAACTCATCTCAAGTTCAAGAGTCAAATAGACAACAACACAATAATTTTGGGTGACTTTAACACACCTCTTTCACCACTGGATAGATCTTCTAAACAAAAGCTAAACAAAAAAACTGAACTACAGAACTCAATAATACAATCAATAACTT